TAATAGTAATAATAATAATAATAATAATAATAATAATAATAATAATAATAATAATAATAATAGTAATAATAATAATAGTAATAATAATAATAATAAGAAGAAGAAGAAGAAGTAGAAGAAGGAGAAGAACAGTATTTTTAGAACTTTAACGACTGTAGTACGTTGACTGTTTAGAAAATGTTAGAAAAATGTATATTGTGTGTACCGTTACAATGATTAGACAAGAATGATATGTACTGATTTTTGATCAGTATTATTTAATAACAATAAGAAAAATAAGTCTCGCTCGTCGCGTGAAACGTTTCGAAGTATATCCTAAAATCTAGATGCGAGATTGTGACGGTGCAGGTAGCAAAAAAATTAAAAATGGAGGAGCGGAATACATATAAGTTGTTACGAAAACAACGGTGAATTTATTAGCATCGTTGGCACAGTCTATTTCGACCAAGTATCTCCGATACGTTGTCCCGAGTTTGTCCCAACATGTCTAACTCGAAGCCACACCTACTCGCAGCTCCACCCCGCAACAAACAGTCTCTGGCCACGATAAATCCATCAAGAATCCATCCACTTTCGACGACTCATCGGCACAAAATATCGCAAACATTGTCTCTCGGCCATCGTTACCCGAATCCGTGGAATCCATCGTCGTGGCCATCGAAATCCGCGCGGCGGATCCCCGCAACGCAGAAACAAGACGTTTCAAGAGTGCTCGAGCGCGCGACGTCCCCGCTCCGCGTCTCAAGGCTCGACGGTCCGCGTATACTCTATCGATTTTCTTGTCCTCTTGGCTTACCCCGTTCTTTATTTCGCCTCTCGTGCCTCCGGTTCCACGGCGCGGCGCGTCGCTCTCGCCTTTTTTTCCATCCCCATCCCCTTTATTCAATTTTCCGCGCGCGTCCCTGCCGGTTCGCCAGCTCGCGTCGCTCTGCTTCGCTCCGCTTCGCGCTGCTTCTCTCTGTTCCGTTCCGTTCCGCGCGGCACAATTTCACTCGCCACCACACCGGCTCGTCGTTCATCCTCGCGCAATCTCGCAGTCCCCATCCTACCTCTTCGGGGAGAGGTAATCAGTGCCAATAAAGTAAAACGGAGACGGAAACGGGCCGCGTGCCGCTTCACTTTCGGTTTTCCCCTTTAATTATTGTCCCGCGTTAGAAGTGGTCGACTTTCGGTTAAACTCTGGGACGAGAATGAAATCGTCCGGAAATAATAACAACGATAAGTTTGACGTATTTGCGTCCGATGTTGTTGGATTTAAAACAAGACTTTACGAACTGTTTACCGATTCACCGGTTATCCGGCATTCGTCGTAAGTAGACTGTGGTTCTTTGTGAAAAATAAAGATCGACTTCCTCGATTGCATGAAACAAAAATTGAGAAAAAAATGAAAACGTATTTCTTCTAATAGTTTCATTTACATACTGACGATAGTGTAAGAATATTTCTAAATTCTTCTAACATCTTCACAATTTTGCATGTTATCCAACCATTTCCGCTATAAACGCATAAAATCCGCAATCTAATCATAAATTTCGCTTATTATGTTTTTGTCGTTGCAACACCTCGTTCCATCGGATTCTAAACAATTCCACACGTACCAATACTAAAATTACGCGTTAATCGAGACCACGAACCTGTTACCTGAATTAATGTAATTATTATAACCTGGTTATTATAATAACAACGAAAGCCACATTGTTAGTTTTGTAAACGACGTTGAACATGATCGTTTCGTTGTCTCAGCTCGATGGTTTCAATTACTATATCAACAATTATTAGACACCAATAAATAGACAGCGGATTTTATGCATTTCCAATGAAAACGGAACATTTCAAACAACGATAATGCTAAGAAAAAATCATCATCAGCTCACTGAAATTATTAAATAAAGAACGAAAATCTTACTCGCTGATCTCCGTCGCAACTGACGAAGAGAAGTTTTATTTCGCGCAAAGATCAGCGATCTGCTTATCAGCAGACCGATTTATTATTAGCAGACTGAAATTAACTGGATTTATTGATCAAGTTGCACGGCTACTTTCGGCTCGCGAAGTCATTTTTCGAAGGATTCCGTTCCATTCTTAATGGTTATCGACCAACGCGCGACGCCCGGCGTCGGGATTTATGGAAGCTCTTTGAGCAGGGAACGAGAATCGACGGATTAATGGGCGACGCGCTCGCACCGTTCCGCGTCGGCCGAACACACGCGGATCGTATTTTTGCGGGACGCCGGGCGTCGCCGTTGGGACGCAGCCTTATTTTCAATGGGCCGTGACGCATCCACGGGAACGTATAATCGGACATATTTAAGCCGCCGCCGCCGATTGAAAGCGGTTTTGCGCGCCGCGAGCCCGCTCGGCATCGATCCGGGCCGATTCAATTGGAAACCGTTCGATTAGGAAAGGTTTATCGGTGGCTCGCCGGAGAACGCGTTGATCCCTCGATCGTTCCCGCGATTGCACTGCCGCTTCGCGTCGTTACCTTTCTTACCACTGCCCTCTCCCGCGAGGATCCGCCCGCTTTTATCGCTAACGAGATCCAATTAAGAGGAACGAGCAGCGAACACGCCGGGGGAAGCCTGTTTACGAGCCCCGGCGATCACGAAATCGGGAATACACACCTACGTCGAGCGCGCCGAGGACCCGATACACCCCTGTCGGCTCGCGGTTATGGCGTGCCGAACGTCCCGGAAAATGCCATACTTGTCGGCGGCGTTCCGTTCCGTTCCGTTTCCCTCGCTACGACGCTGCCCCGGAAATCTCGATCATCTTCGGTTCTCTTGGAACGCCTTTCTTCTTCTTCTTTCGGTTACCGATCCTCGGTGCATAACGTTGCTTCGGTGATATCGTGGCTATGATCTAGGTTAAACACTGTATTAACACGTTCCGTGCCACGTGTACCATCGATGGTACACGCTTGCATCTTTACTTAGTGAACTGAACAAATTGTTTACAAGAAATTTCGAACCGAAGAATCAATTTCCACCGCAAGAATGGGCGTTGATAAGTTTTTGTTACGTTGTTATGTGTACGAGAATTAATAATTGCACGTAATACATCAAGTTTTAGTAAAATATCAAAGTGTGAAGATTCGAGTAAAAAAAGCTCGGCACGGAACGTGTTAACCTTTGGAAAAGTGAACATTTTCATTCACGATGCTCGAAACGGTGTCTTTTACGTCGAATTCGCGTCAGACGAATTTCCAGGCTAGGATAATTCTGGTCGAAAGCGGAGCTAAATTATGCATCCGCGTGTAAAGAAGCAATCGTCGATTTTTGTTTTATTGAGCTCTGAAAACCGTGATTGAGGTCTGGATAATTTCTATAGACCGTTTGCGTTGTAACAGCGAATTTTTGGTGCACTTATGAGAAAATTGAAAGGTTGAAAGAGTTTGAGAATATCAATGTGTATTATTTTTGATTCATTGAAATCATTAAATCAAGATATTACTTCTAACTTTGGTTTTCTTCCTTTCAATCGACGCTCACCATTTTTATTTCGCATAAAAATCCGCAGTCTGGTTATCATAATCCGGGAATGAAAAGGCGTTCAATTTATTGCTGCTACATTCGTTGCAATTGATTGACCTGTGCCCTGCGTTCAGAACCTTTACGAATGTAAAAAATGATTATGAAGTTTAGCGTACGTTGTTTTCTTGCAATAATGTGTAACATTTTCGTACAATACGGCCCAAATTAATTCCAGACAGCCTCGGTCTGTTAGGGAAATAGTTAAGGACAAGGGAGCGCTAATCAACGTAACTGTAAAAATGGTTAAGAATTAAGAAGAGTCAATTAACGTAGCTATAAAAATAATTAAAAATGAGAAAGAAGAGTTAATTATCGTACTTGTAAAAATGATTAAGGACAAAGAAGAGTTAATCAACGTAGCTGTAAAAATGATTGACAACGAAGAAGAACTGCTAATCAACGTAGCTGTAAAAATGATTATAGACAAAGAAGAACTGCTAATCAACGTAGCTGTAAAAATGATCAAGGACAAAGAAGTGTTAATCAATGCAGTTATAAAGGATATCGTAATGCACGGACTAAATTGTCCATATTTGAAGATCGTTAGCAATTGGAAGGATGAATCGGCTATTTACAAGCGTATTTGCCAGCTGTTCGTGGATCTTTCAGCTCCTATATGAGATTGAAAAGCCGACCCGGACAGAACGAGAGCAAGTGACGCGGATAACGAGGCCGCGTGGAATAAGTCGAACGAGCAAATAACAAAAGGAAGAAGCGAGCAATTAGATGTCGCTGCAGCGCGAGGGTTGCCGTAATGAAATTACCGTGTTCGGTTCAAAGAGGCTGGGCTTTAGAGCCTGACCGCGAGCCGCGCGCTGGCAAACGGCCGTTCAGACCGAAGAAAAGACAGTTTGAAGCGTACGCGTCGGCCTCGCGGGGTGATTCAGTTTTCCACTTTGATCCCAAATATAATCCTGCGGCGCGATTAAAACGGGAAACGAGGGCGGAAGGCCGACAATCGCAAAACCGGCAAATCAAAAGGATAGCGAAGATCTGCAGTTTTGTCGAGGACGTAAAGAAGACGCCTAAATATTGCTGAAAAGAGAAGCACGGGACGTGTAGATTTTTCTTCAGAAAACGGAATTTGACGTTGAGGGCGGAGCTTTGGCTTTTGGGCGGAGTTTCGGGCCAATGAAAGAGGAAAACGAGAGCGGGAGTCCGACAATCGCAAAACCGGCAAATCAAAAGTAAAGAAAAAATCTGAAATTTTACGAGGACGTCGAGAAGACACCTAAATATTGCTGAAAAGAAGCACGGGACGTGTAGATTTTTCTTCAGAAGACGGGATTTGACGTTGAGGGCGGAGTTTTGGCTTTTGGGCGGAGCTTCGGGCCAATGAAAGAGGAAAACGAGAGCGGGAGACCGACAATCGCAAAACCGGCAAATCAAAAGTAAAGAAAAAATCTGAAATTTTACAAGTACGTCGAGACGACACCTAAATATTGCTGAAAAGAAGCACAAAGCATGATGTAGATTTTTGTTCAGGAAATTGGATTCAGCGTTGCGAGCGAAGTTTCGGGCCAATTAAAGCGAAAAACGATTTATAATAAATCCAGCGGGACTGGCGCACGGGATGCGCTTATTAGCGAGTAGTTAGCGTTATCGTAGCGAACTCCAGTTCGAGGACTCTGAAAACAACCGAGACACGGCCGCTTTGATACCGCGATCCGAGCAAATAGAAAGGAAACACGTGCCGCAGAACAAACGAAACGAGGGCTGATTTTCAGCGCGAGCGCGTTGCGACCCCCTCGGCCACGAGATTCGGTTTGAAACTCCCGGCCGTCCTCTAGATCCTCTGATGGCTGCGGCTCGGGACTTTGACGAACCGCGGCGGCTTAATTGCGGCTGACAGTTTTTCGTTTAAACGATCCATCGGTGCTGCGGAGACATTAAATCGCGCAGCAACTTCTTTCGCGGGATTTAACGAATTCTACTCGGTTGATTCCTGGATGATTATTCTGTGGATTTTCCTGCAAAATACTGATATTGTTCTCCGAATCCGGAGAACTCGAATAGCGGACCTTTTTGATAAAAATATATCTGAGCATATATATCTGAGTCGTTTATAATTTCGGTCATTAAATTTTCCGACATATTTTTCGATGTACTTGTTTCAGACACGACAGCTTTTAATGATACCTGTGAAGATTTTAGTTAATTTGCCGGAAACTAGACAGTCGAATAACAATATTTATATTTTTATTATTTTATTTATTAACAAACGGTGACTCACACAAAATACAATACAAGATATATATATATATATATATTGTTATTCGTCTGTCTAGTTTCCGGCAAATTAATTTAAATATATATATATATATATATATATCATATTTTATTTTTATTCATTTTATTTTATTTATATTTCCATATCTCTATTATATTTATAGCCAAAAATGCATTTACTCGCTTAAGAACTTAAGAACTCGTTCTGAAACTGCTTTTGTAACTTTAGTACACACTTTTGTCGCAGATGCATAAAATCTGCAGTCCAAAGCTGCATCATCCAAATGTACCGCCCAAATGCACTTATCCGAAGCAACAATTAAATCGTTCCAACGAACCACAGAGAATCGATCGAGGAATTTTTGACGCAAACGAAGTTACCGGGAATCGAACGAAGCATGCTTTCGAGACATCGCGTCGAAGACGAACAATCCACGGGAATAATTGCGTGGGTGGTCGATAAGGTGGGCAGGCTGCGGGGAACGCGTAACAGTCGGCCATTAATTGGGATGCGTATCCAAGAGCGAGGACCAATTTACATTGTCCCCGGCCGATAATCTCGCAGGATCGAGCATCGTAATCTAGGAAGACGGCCGGCCTCGCGTCGATCAGCCGGAGGCGACGCGTATATCGATTAGGCGTGGTACCCTGAATGGGCTCGACGAAAATCGATGATAGACGTCACTCGCAGGATCCAGCCACCTTTCTCTCCTTCGAGCCGTCACCCCTCGGCTCTTGTCCCCGACGATATAATTATATATCGATTCCTGGCTCATTGTCGGCTAAATGGGACACGTTACTTTTGCGGGATCGACGGTTCGCCTCCTCTGCGAACGCGTCTTCCTTCTCCCTTCTCGGGACGAGTCAACACGGAGATCGATATGGATAATGGATATCGTGTAATCGCTGGCGTTTTATTTGCTTTTACGCTCGCTGAGAAATCAGCAGCAATAATGATTAAACTTCGTTTCCGACAGGTGCGTTCGATCAAAATCTGGATTTATTACTCTTCACCTTTAAAATACTTCTGGTTTCGTTACTCGGAAAGTAAACTTGTTTGAACGCAACGTATCGAATACAGTTGTTCGAAAATTCGATTAACCCGCTGACGTAAAAATAAAACGGAATTTGACGCGTCCGAAAGATACTGTTTAACCCAAAGCGCTCCGTTGGCTCCGCTATGGAGACATCCGTCATTTGTTCCGTAAATCCGAAGGCTCTGCTGCGGAGCCCAATGGTTTTAGCTTGATTACACCGAAGTTGCTATGTTTTTGTCGACATTGGCAATTGTTATTTCTAGCGAAAACGTGCTTAGCGTGTGTACCATTACGATTAAAACATTTTTTGCCCATTTTTATACTTAGCAACATAAAATGAATAACATCGAACGCTTTCGCAAGGACGTGTAATCTTTTCCGCTCGAAATAAGACTTCCTCTATCTCAGGCGCTTTGCTCCAAAACTGTGCCGGAGCTGCTGGTAGTGATATTTTTCAGAAAAACGCTGTTCAACTTTATCTTAGAACGTCCGAAGAATATTTACTAATTTTTAATTGAATTTAATTATCAATCGAGCCGATTCCAGCGAAGATTAACGATAAAAAAATTCCGGCAAACTCGCGCAAAAGATATTTTCGTTTCAATAATTCCGTATCCGAACAGAATTCAACGGACGATTCGCGATGCTAATGTTATAATAAATCGCGTCAAAGAAC